GGGGGGGTTCCGGCTGGGAGGGGGGGGGGATCAGGGCTAGGGCAGGACGGGCTTATCTTGAGTGGCTCCCAGTCAGCGATGCAGTGGGGGGGCTAAGGAAGCTTCCTGCCTCTCCTGGACCACAGGCCATGCTGCGCCCCAGAAGCAGCCGGCAACAGGTTCACAGCCAATGGGAGCGCGAAGCTCGTGCTCAGGGCAGGGGCAGGGTGCATAACATAACAGAAGAAGAAGATAAGAGCGGCCATACTGGGTCAGACCAAAGGTCCATCCACCCCAGTATCCTGTCTGCCGACAGTGGCCAATGCCAGGTGTCCCAGAGGGAATGAACCGAACAGGTAATGATCAAGGGATCTCTCTCCTGCCATCCATCTCCACCCTCTGACAAACAGAGCCTGGGGACACCATTCCTTACCCATCCTGGCTAATAGCCATTAATGGACTTAACCTCTATGAATTTATCTAGTTCTCTTTTAAACCCTGTTATAGTCCTCGCCTTCACAACCTCCTCAGGCGAGGAGTTCCACAGATTGACTATACGGTGTATGAAGAAGAATTTCCTTTTATTTGTTTTAAACCTGTTGCCCATTAATTTCATTTGGTGGCCCCCAGTTCTTATATTATGGGGACAAGTAAATAACTTTTCCTTATTCACTTTCTCCACACCACTCATGATTTTATAGACCTCTATCTCCCTTAGTCTCCTCTTTTCCAAGCTGAGAAGTCCCAGTCTCTTTAATCTCTCCTCATATGGGACCCGTTCCAAACCCCTCACCGTTTTAGTTGCCCTTCTCTGAACCTTTTCTAATGCCAGTATATCTTTTCTGAGATGAGGAGACCTGTGTTCTCTCCCTTCCCCTCCCCTAGGAGCTGGGCCTGTTACGAGCCACTTCTGGAGCACAGCACAGTCTGTGGGGTTAGGACAGGCAGGTAGCTGTCTTAGCCCCCCCCCTTCTCCCGCAACCCCCTGCAGCACCAAGACCCAGTGCCCGACTGTCCATAACTGAGTCGTGACCCATTGATTGAAGACCCCTGGCTTAGCTAGAAAGGCCCCCGTGTTGATCTAAGCGGCTAGTGGAAGCAGGAGAAATTCTTCCCGTCCCAGTCCAGCATCACAGGAGCATAACTCAGCACAAGTCCCCTGCTGTGCACAGCTGTAAGCGGGAGGCCACTGTGGCCCACGGGAGTTACCCAGAAGTGAGCTCAAATCAACCCCTGAAAGCTCTCACGCCGCTGAAGCCAGTTGTCCCTCAGGATCACACGAGAACAAGCCAGAGCGACTGTGCTCTTAGGGCCTGGCTCCCATCTTCAATAACGACACAACCTAGTCCTCAGAGCAGACGGCATCCCGCCCCTCCACGCACAAGGCAGCACTGCGCCGTATGGGGCAGGAAGAGGGCATAAAGAGCAGCAAAAGGCGTCTCAATGACCCAAAAGCCTCAGGCAACCTCACGCCCCTGTTCTGAAGCCCGGACACACCAGAAGTCTGCAAAGAAAACAGCTGACAACTGTCACGGCCCCAAACCAAAACAGCTGAATCATTTTCAGGGAAACGGAAACAATTCAGCCAGCGGCTGCAGAGCAAGAATGGAGATTTCACAAGCTGCAAGGCAACCTGGACTCTCAGCATAGTTGTTCCTATCTCTGCTTTCGTCTCTCCAGCCATTCGTCTCTCCAGCCCTCCCCGCCCTCCTGCGAGAGACACAGAGAACACAGCGAGGCTGCCCCTCGTGTCTGGGCAAAGCTCGTGACAGACACCCACACCTCACTGCACTCTGCTGCTATGAGGCCCGCCAAAAACGTTACCACAGCCAGGCTGCCCCTGTCCTGAGACACTGTCCACCATTGGGCCCAGTCCTCTCACTATGTCCTTGTGCCACCCTGTCTGTACCTGTCGGCTGCCTCCTAGATCGTAAACTCCCTGGGGCACAGATGCTCTGTGTTTATGCAGCGTCTGGCACAGTAGGGTGTCAATGCACGATTAGGGCACCTCTAGGTAACAGGGTGATACAAAAAATATATTTTCATCGGCAGAGCCAGTAGCAAACCTTGCCTCCCAATCAAGGTTGCTAACCCACAGAAATTTCATTTACGGACAAAATGGGAAAAATGTATGGAGACACACATTTTTTTTACGGACATCATTTTTATACTGTATTAAGGTGCCATAAATGACCAAAAGTGAAAAGTAATCATTGTCATTCATACATCACAAGAACAACAGGCTTTTAACTCACTTTCATTTAGTTAGTCATGGTCCTGGAAGTTTTCCATTTTGTAATTCTACATCCGAACACTGACAACTAAACAACTAAAACGTCCAATTTCCGCGGCCCCAGAGTAAAATGGTTGAAGCAGCACAGAAGAAATTTCATTGCTATAGGATAATTGCTGGGCTTTGAAATTTTATTGAACTTTTATGAAATTTACGGACACCTAAATTTTTTTTACGGATTTTACGGACGTGTCCAATTTCAGCTCATTTTTTACAGACTGTCTGTAAATTTACTGACGGCTGGCAACCCTGCTCCCAATCCCTTGCTGTCACGCCGGACTGTACGCACTCACAAGGAAGCAAAGGCAAATCAACCCACCTAGAATTTCAACAAGGATCCAGGGACCTCAGTTGGAACAAAGAAGTGGCCAACCTCAGAGGTTAGGAGCAGGGTTTCATTGCTCCTCCGAAGGACAGCAACCCTCCTTCAGGATAGTCTGCCAGCATTTTGGTGCTCCCAGGAAGAGCATCTCTCCGTGTACCCGCCACTTCGGACCATGTTTTAAGGAGCAGAAGGGGAGATGGCTGCAGGCCTGAAGAGAGCATGCTGGTTTTGAGCTTGGGTTCAAACAGATGCTGACTGGCACATGTGGACTATGCAGAGCCACACCATGGATAAGGAAGCCTCAGGTAAAGCAGAAGAGGCACAAAACCCCGTGTCTGGAGGGGTCAGGCTTGGATGAGCCTAGAAGACCATGGTCTCTGCAGCTTAACTGGCTGGAGAATCTAGCGGTGGCCTGGAAGTCCTGGCGTAGAAGTTGAGTTAACACACCCTGCGTTTGTTAGCGTAGGACTTGGAGCATCTACACTCATTTGCAATCTTGGGAAAGGGTTGATTGAAACCCCAGTCCCAGCCTGGAGCTCTGGCATCCCCAAATGCATCCTGCAGGCCTCAGTCCAACCTCCCACCTTCCAGACGACCCAAAGCTCTCCCAAACCGTGGCCGGGCAAGCTCGCTGTCCATGATGCAGTGTGGGAAAGCCGGCCGGTCCAGAGGACCAGCAGAGTCAGCCGGAACTTTGGGATACAGGAGAAACTCAGCGTTATAAACACCCAAATTACAAACTCATCAGCCAACGTCACACTTCATTTGGAACTAGACATGCCCAAACAGGCAGCAGCACCGCAGGGGAAGGGGGGGGGGGGGCAAATCCCGTACGGTACTGGGTTAAACGGAAACCACTGAACACACAAAGGGAAAGCAGCATTTTTCCTCTGCGCCGTACAGTTTCAAAGTTGAATGAAGCCAACTTTCAGCTGTTAACAGAGGAGAGAACCATAACGAGTAGACCCTTGTAACTCTGAGGTTCTACTCTACTTCTGGGGGACTCTCAGAGCACAAGGCCAGTGGGGCTGCATCTATACTGCACAGCAACAGCACTGGAGCCCTAGGTCCCGGCATGGCCTGGCTGCACCTGACATGGGTTTCCGGAGCTCAGCCTGAGGATCTGGGGAAGGATCTCAAATCCCAGGCTCCAGCCTGAGTCCAAATGTCTACGTTGCTATTTTAGCCCTGCCGCCTGAGCCCAACAAAGCTGGCCCAAGCTCTGAGACTTGGCACGGCAGGATTTTTACTGCAGAACAGACACGCTCCATCCCTGTGGCATCCTGAGACCTGTATTCCCTATAAACTATGTGCTTGTGAGGCAGCAAAGGAGGAAAGAGCTCACAGCTAGGTTTGTGTTTCTCCGGGTAGTGCACATTCACACATGCCTTGGTGCATGTAACAAAATTTATTCTGCACAGAGATGGGAAAAAAATCCACCATGGGATGGAAAAAATTAGCGGGAACATTTCCTGAGACCCTGGCTCTGAGCTCCGGGTTAGCACGATTTGTGTGCAGACGGGCAAGGGTTCGATTTGATCTGGAGTTCTAACCCTAAGCTCACACTGCAGTGTAGACACACACTACACCTGGGGTGGGGAACCTGAGGTCCAGGGGATGGATGCAGCCCCCAGCTTGCCTGGATCCGGTCCCTGAGTCTCAGGGGACACCCCCAGCGTTGGAGATCCTGCGCTGGTGCTCCGCCCCTTCCTTCACGCCACCGCAGGGCTGGTACGCACAAATCTACTAGGTTGGGCCACCCAGGCTCTTTTGTGTGGCGGAATGTGGGGAGAGTCTTCCCCCTTCTCCGTCGGGGGCCACGACAGTGAAGTAAGTTTTTTGTGCAGCTCCCAACTGATTTTTCAGTGGATCAGCAGCCCCCAACCCCCAAAAGCCC